GCTCTATGAAGGAGTATCGGGGAGCGCGGGGAGGGGCGCTCTATGAAGGAGTATCGGGGAGCACGGCTCTATGAAGGAGTATCGGGGAGCGCGGGGAGGGGGGCTCTATGAAGGAGTATCGGGGAGCGCGGGGAGGGGGGCTGTGATTGGCTGTCTGTCTCTCAGTCCCGCGCTGTGATTGGCTGGCTGTCTCCGGTTTCCGCGCTGTGATTGGCTGGCTGTCTCCGAGTCCCGCGCTGTGATTGGCTGGCTGTCTCCGAGTCCCGCACTGTGATTGGCTGGCTGTCTCCGGTTTCCGCGCTGTGATTGGCTGGATGTCTCCGAATCCCGCGCTGTGATTGGCTGGCTGTCTCTCAGTCCCGCGCTGTGATTGGCTGGCTTTCTCCGAGTCCCGCACTGTGATTGGCTGTCGAGCTGTGGGCGTGTTAAGGCGGGTGTTGCTGGGAGGATTGCTGTGATTGGCTGCCGCTCTGTCAGTGTGTGAGGCGGACATGGCGGAGCAGCCGGAGCTGAGCGGTCTGAGCGATGAGGAGACTTACCGCGTGTGCCGGGACCCGGACCCCAGCACCAAGGTAACCGCCACCATAACCACCGCGAGTACCATAACCACTGCACGGCTTCCACCATAACCACTGCACGGCTTCCACCATAACCACTGCACGGCTTCCACCATAACCACTGCACGGCTTCCACCATAACCACTGACTGTACCATAACCACTGCACGGCTACCACCATAACCACTGACTGTACCACCATAACCACTGACTGTACCATAACCACTGCACGGCTACCACCATAACCACTGACTGTACCATAACCACTGCACGGCTACCACCATAACCACTGCACGGCTACCACCATAACCACTGACAGTACCATAACCACTGCACGGCTACCACCATAACCACTGACTGTACCATAACCACTGCACGGCTACCACCATAACCACTGCATGGCTACCATAACCACTGCACGGCTACCACCATAACCACTGACTGTACCATAACCACTGACAGTACCATAACCACTGCACGGCTACCACCATAACCACTGACTGTACCACCATAACCACTGCACGGCTACCACCATAACCACTGACTGTACCACCATAACCACTGACTGTACCATAACCACTGCACGGCTACCACCATAACCACTGACTGTACCATAACCACTGCACGGCTACCACCATAACCACTGCACGGCTACCACCATAACCACTGACAGTACCATAACCACTGCACGGCTACCACCATAACCACTGACTGTACCATAACCACTGCACGGCTACCACCATAACCACTGCATGGCTACCATAACCACTGCACGGCTACCACCATAACCACTGACTGTACCATAACCACTGACAGTACCATAACCACTGCACGGCTACCACCATAACCACTGACTGTACCACCATAACCACTGCACGGCTACCACCATAACCACTGACTGTACCACCATAACCACTGCGAGTACCATAACCACTGCACGGCTACCATAACCACTGCACGGCTACCACCATAACCACTGATAGTACCATAACCACTGACAGTTCCATAACCACTGACTGCGCAACCATAACCACTGCACGGCTACCACCATAACCACTGCACGGCTACCACCATAACCACTGCGAGTACCACCATAACCACTGCGAGTACCATAACCACTGCACGGCTACCTCCATAACCACTGCACGGCTACCATAACCACTGCACGGCTACAACCACTGACAGTACCATAACCACTGACAGTTCCATAACCACTGTACGGCTGCCACCATAACCACTGATAGTACCATAACCACTGACTGCGCAACCATAACCACTGCGAGTACCACCATAACCACTGCACGGCTACCACCATAACCACTGCGAGTACCACCATAACGACTGCACGGCTACCATAACCACTGACAGTACCATAACCACTGCACGGCTACCATAACCACTGCAAGTACCATAACTACTGACAGCACAACCATTATCACTGCACTGCTACCATAACTTAGAGCTGTGGATAAAAGGCATATTGCACAGTTTGTGGCTCTACATAATTCATTTTCTGCACTTTCAGAGTGTAATGGTGTTATGGAGACAGGCTCAGGTACTGAGGGTAGCGGTGTCATGGAGAGAGGTACTGAGGGTAGCGGTGTCATGGAGAGAGGTACTGAGGGTAGCGGTGTCATGGAGAGAGGTACTGAGGGTAGCGGTGTCATGGAGAGAGGCACTGAG